CTGACTGCTTTGTTTCAGCAGGCACTTAAACACCTGAGCTAATGGGCAGGCCCCCTAAAATAATTCTAAGAATATCTTTAAAAAAGAAGCAACACTGCATCAACTAATTTATTACTTATGTTTTGTTTTGTTTGTGGCACCAGGGATTGAACTCAGGACCTTGTGCTTGCCAGGCAAGCACTTATTCCACTGAGCCATCTCCCCAGCCCTACAATTTTTTTTTTTTTTGGTGATACCAGGGATCGAACTCGGGACCTTGCACTTACCAAGCAGGCGCTTATGCCACTGAGCTATATCCCCGAACCACAACTTACACGTTTAAAGTTTGATAATTTTAAGGATTATTTCATAGTCAAATATTATTTCTTCAATAGTCTTAAGGTAATACACATTTCTAGATAACTTACATGGGTGAAAGATCTGACATAATTCCATCATTCTCTTAAAGGCAAATCTCACTTACCTAAAAACTCATTAGGTGGTTTTAGTAAGCAACTGAGACAAGAAATTTAGTAGAAGTTCAAGTATTCATTTTTTCCTGGTATCTTAATTTTGAATTTATCTTTTAAAACATTACAATAAAAGTACCATTTGTACAATCCGATTTACACCACAAGACAAAAATTAATTTGACCTTCTCCATCACTGAAAATGAGCAGTGACCATTGTTAACCTCATATTCTATGTCTCAAGTATTGTTATCATTTCTTTAAAATTATCTCTTCTCAATCCATAAAGCCACATTCTTCTGCTATACTTTACTAACCTACAGTGCATGCATTCAAAAATTAGAAAGCAGTTCTCATCAGCAAAGAGTTCACAGCCTAGTAGGAGGAAAACACAAGTGAATAAAAATTATCTATGATACATAAGTACTTTATTAAAGTATTTAAGCAATATTAGAAAAACATAAGGGCTGAGGGAGATGGAAAGATACAGAATTTCAGAATAGGAAAACTGGAACATGGTGAACAAGAGAAATCTGGTTAGAATACTCCCAAGAAAATTTGTTTCAAAAGGAAGACAAGGGCAACAGCTAGAGCTATAGGTTCTAGAGAAGGATTTAAGGTAGGAGAGACACACTCACCATCAATTCCTCTGAACTATTTTCCTTTACTACACACCTCTCCTAAGACTAAATCCCAGCTGGCATTTACTAAGCATAAGCAAGCCACTCAGCTTTTTTTTTTTTTTTTTTTTTAGACAAGGTCTCCCTAAGTAGCCCGGGCTGGCCTCTAGCTTGAAATCCTCTTCAGGCTGGTTTCAAACTTGCAACAATCCTCCTACCTCAGCCTCCTGGGATTACAGACATGTGCCACCATGCCTGACTAAGCCACTTAACATTTTTAAGCTT